TCGGTATCATTATCATTAAACAAGACCTAATCGTTAAATTCTGCTTTATGACCGCATTTAAACATATAAGCCGTATGTCAATTTGCCTCGCGGTGCATTTATCTGTCAGGTAATGAAACCTTGATTAAGCACTTGAATCATGAGTGGAGTAAAAAAATTATACGCCCCAAAATTTATAACCCTCGTTAATTAAGAGTCACATAAATTTTGATTATATAAACACATTCATCCGATGATTCGGAGAGATTCTCTAAAAAAAAAAAAAATTCTTCATTCAAATTAAAACAAAAGAATTGCTTTGATCTCACGAGATTCTGATAAAGCGCTCAACGAGAAGGAGGAAAGCATTCCTGAAATTGTAAATTTCAAATAATGTCGGCAACATTTTTTTTTATTTAATTTAATGCGCCCCTCAAAGCTTGATTTAATTGCATACATTATCGTATTTTATCTGTTACATTAAAAATTCATTGAAAGGCAATTGGATGTAATTCTTGATGAAATGATTCAAAAAGAAGTATCAAAAACATGGTGTTTATTGAATCATTTAATTTTCTCGTGACGTTTTTCCGTTGTCTCTGTATGCCTTCCAGGTATACCATTACCGGTTTTAAGAAGTCACTCTTATAAGCGTGAGGACGTGTTTCCATCTTAGGTACCCATCTTGCTCTTGGTGAAAGATAAACATCTGCGCATACTACGGTAGTCAAAAGAGAATCGCGTAATTAGTCGGACGAGTCTCTTTTTTTTTAACTCTCTTTCTTTTGTTGAACGAGTTTGGAGCAAAAGATGTTCACTCTGCACCTAAACTTCCAAACCGTTTCACACCTTCGTTAAAGACTTATAAATTTTAGTATACTTTTGATTCTTCAATAGCGATTAATACTAAATGCACATCTGCTACTGTTTGTTAAAGCCATAGCTTTTTATTGCTTGTTTCATTAGGTAAACGTTTTTTTTACTGTGAGCATTGTAATTAGTACTATTATCAGAAGAAAAAATTTTAAAATATTTGTGGTATTCATTGCAAGAAAGGTTTCTGATCAAACAGAAGCTGCAGCTAAAAATTTACAGGGTTGTTCTTTAGACCTACTTTAAACCTTTATTGAACCTACTGTGAACCTAAATTGACCCTCCTTTAAACCTTATTTGAACCTACGTTAGGTATACTATCTTTGGACCTACTTTAAACCTTTATTGAGCCTGCTTTGAACCTACATTGACACTATTTTTGACCTTTAATGGAAAGACTCAGACCATAAATTGATCCTACTTTACACCTTTATTGGGTCTGATTTGAACTTGAATTAACCCTACTTTAGACCTTTATTGATCCTACTTTGAACATGAATTGAACCTACTTTTGAACTTCATTGGTTTTACATTGACCATAAATTGACCCTACATTAGATCTTCTTAAACCTACTTAGACCTATTGACCCTACTTTAAACCTTTATTAGATCTGCTTTGAATCTAAGTAAACCCTACATTAGACGTTTTGAACCTGAATTGACCCTACTTTAGAACTTTATTAGACCTACTTCGACCCTAAATTGACCCTAGTTTATACCTACATTGGGCCTAATTTGAACCTAAATTAACCCTACTTTAGACCTTTATTGATTCTACTTTGAACATGATTTGAACCTACTTTTGAACTTCATTGGTTCTACATTGACCATAAATTGACCCTACGTTAGATCTTCTTAAACCTACATAGACCTATTGACCCTACTTTAAACCTTAATTAGACCTGCTTTGAATCTAAGTTAACCCTACATTAGACGTTTATTGTGTCTGCTTTGAACCTGAATTGACCCTACTTTAAACCTTTATTAGACCTACTTCGACCCTAAATTGACCCTACTTTATACCTGCATTGGGCCTAATTTGAACCTAAATTAACCCTACTTTAGACCTTTATTGGACCTACTTAGACCCTACTTTAGATCCTTATTGGACCTGATTTGAACCTAAATAAGGCCTACTGTAGACCTTTATTGGGCCCACTTTGAACTTGAATTGAACCTCCTTTGTTCTTCATTACGTCTAATTTGACCCTACTTTAGACCTGCATTGGACCTAATTTGAACCTTAATTAACCTTATTTTGAACCTGAATTAAACCTACTTTTGACTTTCATTGGGTATAATTTAACCCTACTTTATATCTTCTTTAAACCTACTTTGAACCTGAATTGACCCTGCTTTAATCCTTTACTACCCCTTCTTTAAACCTAAATTAGACCTAAACCATATTAAAAGACACAGAACGCGTTTTTTCTCGACACCAACAGAATTGATTGTTTAAAGCAAATAAACTGAAAATGTAATTGTATAATTGAACTCCCTTGAATGTATGTGTGTATAAATGTTAATGGACAGCTGTGTGGGATTATGGACAAATACGAAGAAGAAAAAAGAATATCACACTGTCACCGCGCCCGTTGTAATTTCAGTTAATTAGTCCTCTCATGAAGATCGCGCGATGATTATAATGAGATAAAGAGCTCTCGCGCGAGCTTTTGGACGGCGCCTACGCTGCGGGAACTCGTTTTCTTCGGCCTTTAATTTGTCTGACCGAATAAGCCCAACAGAGAATTTTTAAGTCTCGCTCATATATGTGAGAGACAAAGACAGAGATAGAGAGAGAGACACACAGGCAATAAGAGCAAGGCAACAATTTTTTTTCTAAGGACTAAATTCCATTCTTGAATGAGTACAACGCGCGGAATTTCAAATTAACATACCTTTTTAAATTATATATATATATTATTTTTCAAAATCATGTTTCACAAAACTTCTTTTTGTGATTTTATTTCATGATCTTCATTCCTGTGAATTAACAAAATTATAAATCCTTAATTTTTTAATTGACATTTTGTCCTTGTAATTAGTGGTATAAATAAATTAAATGACGAGTTTTTAAGATACGCAAATATTTAAAATTTTTGTTAAAAGAAAAAAAAGGTATAAATGCTCCAATCGAGTGTGTAAGGTCATTTCGATTGTCAATTTTACAAAACCATGGTGCGAGTTAATTTCAAATTCTCGTGTCGTTAACGATCCGGAAACTCGCTTCTCGTTCTCCATCTTCTCTTAGTTAAAATTGTTACGAGGGTCTATAATTGTATCCTATACTCGCATGTAACTCCATTACAGTTCGAATTTAATGCGTTCAACCAAAGGCGTTAGTATTTTTTATTTTGTGAAAATCGGTTTTTATCTCAATTCTACTTCTACTTCTTCTTTTTTTTTTTGCCTCCCGCGCGAGTGTAATAACGCTAAAATATATAATTAGTCCCTTTCGACGATTTATTCTTCACGATTCACCAAACTGGCATAATGAGGATCAGCGAAAAAAAAAAAAAATTCCCCGAGTTTAATTTTGTTGAAAGAGCTTATATTTCAGTACTTTTGAATTCCGGATGTTCTTTTAATTCCCCTATTTAAAAAGAGGAGGAAAAAAAAAAAACTGAAAAAATTTTTGAAGCTCATTAAATCTTTCATTGCAAAGGCAAATTATAATCGTTCCTTATATATATATATATATATATATATATATATATTATATTCTATAAATTCATCGATGAAAATAGAAGTTCTTTTAGTATTTCTGAAATAAAATCTAGAAAATAATTTTGATTTATCTTCCACTTAGAAAAAAAGAACAATTTGTTTTTTTGAGCAATCAGAGGTTTTTTATAGAACATAATGAAGCGCATATCCGTTCAATATTTGTTTGTTAAAATTTACAGTTGAAGAAAGGCAGTATTCGTAGAAATCGTCAATTATTTCACAGGCTTATTGAAGAGAAAGTGTAGGAGCGAGAAGAGATCTTTTTTACGATCGGATTATAAACGAAAAAGGGGGTTTCTGCGTGGTCGTCACTATGTGCACTGTCAGCAATTGCAGCAACAGTGGGACGCAAAATAATGAGAGAGTCCCCTCTCTTTTAGTTCCCACATTTCATTTCGCGATAAACATCATCCAAAAGGACCCTCTCTACAATCAAAGAAACTATAGTTAATTAGCCGGAAAAAAAAATACTTTGATTTTCTTTATTTTTAGAATTGTAAAAGTTCTTCTCGTTGCAATTTTCTCTTTTGGTGAAGTTTATTTATTTATTTTTTTTGTTTTTGTTGCCTCCTTCACGACGGCGGCCAACGTCGAGAAACAAACTACCGTGTATATTGTGAGTAGGGGCGCTCTCGATCCTAATCTCGATAATGACGCGTAATGGCTGGTAGCGTGAATGTAGCTCTTTGTGTCCGTTGCTCCTGAACAAAACCCAACTCATATATCTATCTCTTCGAAGAGGAGAATCGCGCCATTTCACCCGTTCGAAAGAGTACAAGGAAGCCGAAATAGTCGAGTTGATTCTCCTTGGCCCTTCGTTATTCCCCCCTTTGCCCCCCTTACAAACGGCGAAAAAGGCGAGGCCCAATGAACAGTTTTAGGTTTTATTAGGGTTTACATTGCTGTCTGCAAGGCTCTCACAAGGGGTTATCAAAACTTCCTTTCAATTTGAAAATTGAATTCCCTTGAATTATTTACAAACATTGCTATTTAAATTAAATTGGAAAAAAAGTAGGGAAATATGTAAAATATAAAAAAAAGTAAATAATTAAATTAATATAAAAAAGATATTTAATAATGATAGTGAAATTAAATTACTGTAAGCCTTCCTGTAAGCTAGTAACGTAATTGGAGGAAATTCCAAAGTGGGGGAATCCTACGCCGCAAAAAGTGGGGGGAGTGAGAGAGAAGCATCGGTTTCTCTCACTCGCACTCATCTCCCCACTCTTTGCAGTAGGCGGAGTCAGCTCACTTCAAAGCCACCGGAAAGTTGTAATTCTTGAAAGTGTTAATAAATAAAGAGGGATTTCTCTTCGAAAAAATTTTATTATACGTTCTGTTTTTTGCACTTCTAGCAAAAGAATAGCTGTGACTAATAGTATACAATTTTTTGTTAATTTTTTCTCTTTTTTAAATTACAGATGTGGTTATGAGAGTTCGATGATTACTGGCCCCCGGACTAGAACCACCACCACCACCACAATGGACTACCTGCAGATTTGCTTCACTGTTTGCTTCACGTTAATTCTCAACTATCACGGTGGACATGCGATAGACATATGTGAGTATATATATATATATAGTTAGTTTGAACCTTTAACGAGATGTATCATTATAGTAATCGAACCGAACCATCCGTGAACACAGAGAGGGAAAGATAGACCTTTTTCGAGGCTCGTTAAATTTCTTTTAAAACCATTTCTTTCTATACTATATACTTGCGTGTGTGGCTACCTGTGATAATCTGTCACGAGAGAGACCCGCCACACTATAGGAGTCTTAAATTTAATGGCCTACTGATTAACGGATCTCGATATACATTAAGGAACACGCGAACTTCTTTTTTGCTAAATTCTTTTTAGGAATAATTAAATTCAAAATTTAATTTCAATTAAATTTTAGAAAAGAAACTTTCTATTGTATTGAATTGAACAAGTTTCAACATCGATTAGCCTCGAGAGAACAGTTGAGGGGTGAGAGAGAGAGAGAGAGAAAGATGCACGTTGAAGATATGTTTACACCAGAAGCTAATAATTTTAACGCCGATCGAATACCGATAAAGACTTGCTGTTTTCTTACCATTTTTGTTTTTCCCGCAAGCATTAAACCTCGGCTCGTTTCTACTTGACTTCCTTTCCGTTCCATTGATTTTAGAGCTTGGGGTCGACCCCTACTTTTCAGGTAAATAGGAAGGAAAACTCCTCTTCAAAAAAAAAAAGAGTGAGAGTTTTGTTCCTTAGAAATCGTGTATGTAGACTATTGACTGTAGTCAACAAATTACAAGCAGAGAATCATCATTCATCCAGAAACTAGAGGGGAAAAAACTTGGAATCCAGACAAGAGAAATGTGGCGCAATAGTTTGCAAAAAAAAAAAGTACTGAATTTAAATAAAGCAGACGTTCTTCTTAGTTTGGAATTGACTGTATGTATATAAGATTCCAGGAGTAGAGCCAAGGGAAGGAAAATAGAAAGTTATGCTAATCGAACCAAGTGAAATAATTGGAAGAACTGAATGAAAAAGGAAGGGGATTCGCAGAAGAATTCTTATTGAACAATTTTTTCAATCCAATCAGATTATTATTTATAATTCTTAATTTTTAATATTTATTTATCCTCAATTTTTGTAATTTAAAAAAAACCCTCCGTTTTCTCTGAAGCATATGCTGTACGCGGGAAAATACAGTATATACAAAAAGCTATTACGTATACCAACTCTCCTTTTTTTTTTCTTCTTTAACCTCGTTAAATTCTAAATTCGCTCCAGCTGCACCTGAGTATTTCATAAGAAACACCAAACTTACTTGGTAATTCTTTCAGGGCCATAATATTCCAAGTTTTAACTTTTAAAACAGTTTTTGACCTACGTGAGGATTAAGCCATATGCTGGTTCTTCCATTGTTTTTTTTTTATGCACAAAACTAATTTTCAGTACAATGGAATTTTGATGTCAAATTTAAAATCAGGCTAAAAAAGGTATAATAGAATATGAGATAAAAAAAAAAAAAACGTGCATCGTCATCATCACCTTGAGAGTGACGAGCGATGTGTAATAACCAAAAACTTTTGTCATTTGAAAGTGATGAGAGTATGTATGGTCCTGAGGATTAACGAATTCTCAAACAACTTTCATCTTCTTCGTTCGCACCCACGCAAAATCGTAAGTGACTTTGTGCCATGAGGGCTGACATATAAATAGCATAGTTAAAAGTTAGAACACGAGAAGCCCTGCTGTGAACTTGTAGGCTGAACCACATTGGTGAATTTCGCGGTTTAAAGGATGAAGGGAAGAGAGCGTGAGAGAGAGAGATGGCGAACATTTCCGATTTAAGAGGAGGGGGGATGGTTATAGTTCGCATAAATTGCAAATGTTAATGCAGCCCGCGATACATAAACATGTTGTACAATGGTTGGATTGCGGTCTCTCGTTTTGCACCCCCTTCGGCCATTTTGTGTGACCCCTCGAACGGATTACGATAGGGTTGCATCAAATCCATCAAGTTCCGCAAATATATTTCTCTTGTTGTTAAATTATTCTTTTCTGAATTTGTAAAGTACTTTTTTTTGTTCTTCACGGGTTTTTTTTTCAACAAAGAATCCAAAAAACTCGAATGATCACCTTGAGCATGTCCGCAATATCTGTCAACTTGATTAACGCGTCTCTTTTTATCAGCATACAAACAAACTTTACACGATATCATTTCCTGTGATTCAGACATTTTCTGCGATTCAATCGTCCACGTTTTATTTATATATATATATTTATTTTTCCAACGGAAAAAAAATGCGTACATTCCCATTCGATGTTCTCAAGATGTTTGCTTCTCAGAATCTGTTGTTTTGCTTCTTTAGTGCAATTACCGTATAAAATTCGTTGTAACTATATAAGAATCATATATATAAATTTTTCAAACACACATACTTTATAACAGAATATATCCTGTAGGACATGCACTTTAAACAGAAATGAACGAGTCGCGTGTTAACTCACACAAATGTGAATCGTCACATTCACAGAGGAAGAGAAATTCAGTATACCACTCGTATATATATATGTCCATCGTCTATATTGATTCTAGAGAAAACCATCATTATAAAGTTGCATATGTTGTATTTGAGCATGCAATTGCAATTGGATTATGGCGTTGTCAACTATTGGTACACACGTGTATATATATATATATGGATTGCGTGCAAGCTCCTTCCACATCTCCATCTCATTCCAATTATCAGGGCCCCTCCATTAGTGCATCGAAAATGCCAAAATTATCGCTTCATTCACCCCATCGAGGGTATTAACATAACGATGCGACAATTAACAACTCGTTATTTTAACCCACATCATTTATTTTCATCTTTGACTAACCATACATTTCGGCTTTCTAAATTATATACATATATATATATACTGCGGTGTTCAATTACGGAAATTGCGATATTATCATTTCTTGCGTTTTAATTAAACGCTTTATCGACTTGAGTGAATTTAATTAGACTGGTTTTTAAATTATGTAAAAGATTCTTGGTAACAGATCTCTTATTTAGTGTATATATATATATACATATATATATATAGAAGTGACTGCAGGTTTATCGTGCTCCTTATCCTGTTTCTTTCGTAGTCTTTGAGATAAGACATGGCTTTATGGTGAGAAAGATGATTTTCAGTATATATAGTGGATGAATATTTTATGGTTTAATTACTCGGCCGACTAACGAAAGTCATTTCAAAAGAGAAACACACTTTTTTCTTTTATTGTTTCATATATAAACTTGTTTCATTTTCTCAAGAGGGCAATTAAAAAAGAAAGAAAAGAATTTTATTTCTTTATATGAGTAGAAAAAAAAATAATTATCCCTTTTTACGATTGTTCGAAATTATTCAAAATTTCATTGTTTTTTTTCGGCATAATATTCAGGCGGGAATAACATAATGATTGTAAAATAAATTCAATTGGATAATGACCGTTCGTTTGGCACTATATACATTAATCTAACCTTCCCTAGTCGGCAATTTAGCTTTCATCTTGCAAAAAAAAATTTATTTGATTCTTTTCGGTTATTTACTATTGTGAAATAAATATTTATATTAAATAATTATTATTTGGATCAATTTGTTTCGAATAGAAAAATTATTCATAGAAAAAATTTGAATTTAAAATTAGTTCAGTCAGACTTGAACCTAAATATAAATGATATCCGATTATTTGAATCAAATAAATTTTTTATTTAATCTGTGTCTAAGAAATTAATTTACTAAAAAGAAGTAATTGGCATCGCAGGTATTTCTTATTTATTTAAATTATTCATTATCTAGTATGAAACACTTCGGACACTTATACTATTTCAATAAGTGTTACCGTTTCTACCATTCAAATGGTAAAATTAGAAAAAACTGCTTCTGTGGAAAAAAAAATATTAATAATTAACAATATTAATTTACACAGAGAAAAATAAATTGTAAACCTGTAACTAAAATTCCATATTGTCATTATAAATTCAAGATTGACATTGTCAAGAGGGACGTTAAGTGCAATAATCCTCAATTTTGAAGTGAGGTCTGCCTTTCCGGTTGTCAATTTCAATAGTGAACATTTTCATAAATCGAATTCGTGTGCGCGAGTATAAACGCCATGCAGGTCGTGATCTCTCTCTCTCTCTCTCTCGCTGAACCCCTTTTTGCGAAAGGGAGAAATCATCATAGAAAAGGGGTTGGATATACCCTCGCCCTTTGCAGACGTATACACACGCAATTCAAGAGTCGGTGATTTCGGGGTCGCTTGAAAATCGAAATAGGGGTCGAAAAGCACGAAGGATGGGCGTAAAAGTAGTACTTCCACTTTGCCAGTCGTCCTGGCGCCAAGAAAATGTTCTTTGCGCGCGCAAATGTCTAGAGCCTCTTTCTGCCCTTTACCCCTCCATTCATGATTCTCAATTTTCTGTTTATTTTCCTGTTTGAAGAAGGCGAAAATAGTTCTTCTTCTTCTTCTTTTCTCCTTCTCCTTTGCCGGACAACGCGTCTGGCTTTTGTCCCAATGGGACCTTTAACATCTCTTCCCTTCTTCTAACACAACTTTTCTTGTTTCCGGTGTATGTTATTAGCATTCGAATATCCAAAGTTTTCCGTCAACAAATTGGATATTATTATACAATTCGAAAAACTTTTTCTAATTATTGTTTTTAAATTCCTAGATTTTCCACGATTACAATTTAATGGCAATCGGAATTGTTAAAATTTCGACTTAAAAATCAATTTCGTGGTAAAAACTTAAAAGTATTTAATAAAAGTAAAAGTTTGATACTACTTTTTCCATTTGTAGAGGGAATAAATATAAAAGTTATTGGAGGAAAACATATGCTAGAGGATTGGCCTGGATATTTCATCATACATATATAAATGGAGGTAGTCATTTCCAATCGACTCGATATACTTTTTTATCGCAATATGTACTATCTTTACGACCATCGATTGGTCTCACTGCATGGTACTTCCGGCGCTAGGGACTTTCCGTATTTCTCTCCCTCTCTCTCTCTCTCTCTTCATCGTCTATATAGTCGCAAAACGATGCATCTAAACGCGTTGTGAAGCAGGTTCGATCCATGTATTTATAGACATCCTGGCCAGGAGGAAAAAAAAAAGAGAGAAGCGTGCAAAAGATGTAAGTTATGCGACATTTGCCCGCCCCAGCCACTCATTTTGCGTCCATAACTCTCAAGAGTGACAGTCCTGAACGGAAGGGTTGCTCTGCTCCTCTCTCTCTTCTTTCCAGAACCCGAGTCTAGGGAAATTGAATGCCCTCTGGCCGCGTCACTGTCAAATTGATAACCACTTTTTTTGTGCCCTCTCATTCTCGCGAGGGAAAAAAAATAAATCAGAACCCTCTGTACCATAGGACTTTATCACATTTTTGTCCTCACTTTTCACCTCTTTTTCGCGAGGCGACGACGACTTCCGCAATAGCAAAAGAAGAGAGGAAGGTTGAGGGGTAGGAAGGGAAAGAGGATTTCCTGTGAAGTAGTTACCGGGGATTTAAACTTTTCAGGTTGGTTTACCGCGATTAGGACTCGTTCTTTCTCTCTCTCTCTCAAAAAGTGAAGATTACTCCTTCAATCCGAATTTCGAGATTTCAGTTTTCAAACTAAAAGATTTACGATTGCGGATACTTAATGTTTTAAGGAACTTTTTTTCTCCTGAAAAGAATTGTTGATCAATATCATTCCAGGTAGTTTCGAAAAAAATAATTAAGAAATAGATATTTTTTTAATGATTAGGGAATTTCAAAGCATTCCAAGAATATTAATTTAGTAGTAGTAGTATTTAATAATAATTAGCTAATTTGAATATATTAAGAGTAAATCTGGAAAACACAATCAGCGTCGCGTTCAAGATGCATAAATCCTCATCGTAAGATTTTCTTAGATTTAATTCGACCCACTCTTCTTTTGTTACAGTACTCTCTCTCTCTCTCTCCATCTTTCTCCCTCTGATTATTATTAATGACTGCGTGCAACGGTCTCCGCTATGGCATTTACAATCTCCCTCTCCCCTCTGTAACCCTCATTCTTGCTGCTTTTCTATTTCAAGCGTGGGTCAGAATTAATTACTTTCCCTCCCACCCCCCAAAAAATAGACTATATTAAAACATAAATCGCGACTCAATTAGGAATTAAGTTTCACTTAATTTAATCCTACAAAAATTGGTAAACAATTTGTTAGGCAATCTGTTTTTTTAGTAATGGCATTTCATTTTCATGATAATTGTTATATCAATTAAAGATGAATTAAAAATGAAGTTGTCTGAAACGAATGAGTAGATTGTAAATAATCGTTACCCAGCATGATACAACACGTTCTTTCTTATGTTTACAGCACAATGCATCGGCCCCTTGGGAATGGAGTCGGGAGCAATTCCTGATGCTGACATCACTGCCAGTTCCAGCTTTGACAGCGGAAACGTGGGACCACATCATGGACGGTTAGTATTTGCAAACGCACTTTTTATATTCTCCTTAAAATTCCATGATCAAACTAAAATTGTTGGTTGTTCATCAAATAAAATCCGTTATGCTTTTTTTGGGTCTTGACCTTTCATGGTGTTATAGGTTAAGTTACAGAAGTATATTCTAATTTGAATATTTCATTTTTGAACTAAAAATCACGAATCATCAATTTAAATTGCTAGAAGAGGTTTCGTCATCAGAATGGAGCATATTAATCACTACGCATTCAAAGAATATCTAATTCGACCTTCTATACCCGTTTGTGGTGTAACAATAATGTCCCGCATATTGCAATGGTTGCGAGCATAATCACGACTATTATACTATTGTTCCCTTTTAAATACACGACATATATCTTCTTTTTACGATTCGCATAATTTATCTCTATACCATATAACCGAAATTTGTTTCTTGGAAACTACAGAGTTGAGCCAACTTTTGAACCCTATATATATATACATACTGCTTTGGTTATTTAGCAGACATCAGTGGTCCATGACGTGTGTAGTTTATCTCAAACGATTCAGAGCCAATTATAACCGTCAAAGAAAGTGCGTCGTCAATTTGGCGTGCGAAACCTATCTCTCCACGGAAGACTTCCGTGAAAATTACATTTACCCGCCTTGTTTCTCAAGGCTTGCACCAATGGCGTGGAATTCAATTTTCTTCAAGTCCTAATGAAATAAATTCCCAAAAAAAATTAAACAATTACTCTAAAACATGTTGCCAACTATCGGTAATTTTGTTTTCGGAGATTTTTTTTGGTTTGCGTTTTATTAGCATTTAGAAAAAGTATTGATGGAATGATTTCATATATACTTATGACTGCGCCGTTGCTAGTCAAGGAAAGCGTTCAAGACACAAACATAATCGCACGCGTAGGAGATTTATCGAGGACAGTGTGTTTGGAATGTCTTTGATGCGGACTGTATCAAAGTGGCAGGCAGTTTGAGCCCTCTTAATGGGCTATGAGTTATGGTCTGGCGTACGATCGTCTCGCTTGCAGGAAGCAAAGAGAGAAGAGAAGAAGAAGAAGATGATGATGATGAAGAAGAAGAAGAAGAATCGGAGACCCGCTGACTCTAAACGCCAGTTCATGTAGCACACACAGTTTACTGCCGTTCAGAGCACCTTGTACTGTCAGTTAGAAACCCCCCCCCCCCCTCTCCTCTTTCTTAGTGCCGAGTTGCTTTTATCGCAAAAAACATTTTTGTCGCGCCCACCTATATTTTCCTTCATGTCGCGATTTCCTCCATCCCCCCCACTCTTTAGATTTTAATGCCCTTGTTTATGGTTTCCCACTTTACTTCATACCAAACAAAATGAAGCTATTTTCAAGCACTGAATCGGACTTAAGGATGTAGCTGAATTATGTGACTAGAGAAACTTTACGATCCAATTCTGAAAATAGGGTTATTCCATTCTCTCGTTTCCTTCAACATTCATTTCTTTTGTTCAACTTTAATCCATTTTATTCTTGGATTTCTTTTGATTCCTATATATATTCTATTTGATTCTATAGTCTGATTTTGAATATTTTATTCAAAATTCTCTTCGATTTGATTATCCATATTGGTTTTCTGTTAAATGAGAAACTAAAAGAATTTTTATATTCAAAAGATGAAAAATTGATGGACCAATATAATACCATGATAGTATTTTCCGCGCGCATATAGCAAAAAGGAAACTACACAATTAGCAATCGAAGTGGCTCTTTCTCTCTCTCTCTGCTCCTCTCATGCTCACGCGTCCTGAAGACCCTCATCTTTAATTCATATCATCCGCTTCCAGGAAGTCGGTCGATAAATTATAATTTCATCGCGTATTCCAACGAAGAGCTAATCCATCTATATATATGTATATACAAGAACACGAAAATGATTATATTATTGTGTTCTCAACTTTTCTTTTCATAAAACTGAATCATCAAACAAAAAAACAGCAATCAAATCAGTTTCAATATTTTGCTTTTCCATAATCTGTAAAATAAATATTTTTTGTTTTCAGACTTAAACAAGAGTATCACGGTGGTGCTTGGTGTCCTAAACAACAGATCACAACTGAACCACGCGAATGGTTGGAAATCGATTTGCACAATGTTCATTTAATCACTGGAACTGCTACCCAGGGTCGATTTGGAAATGGACAAGGTGTCGAATATACTGAAGCTTATCTACTCGAGTATTGGAGACCTAGATTAGGCAAATGGGTCCGTTATCGGGATATCCGAGGTGAAGAGGTGAGTACATTTTCCTATCCAAATGGGTATAAAAATTTAAATTATTCCTAACGTTAAATTAGAATTTCAATATTAATTTCAAATTTTGAAGGTATCAAATTGATTCAAATATTGGTATTTTGATACAATTTGTTATCAATTACCTTTAAAAAAAACAGGGAATATAATATTTTTGTTTCTAATCGATTAGATAATTTTATTGTTACAATTGTAATAAATTGTATAAATTGAAGGTAATAAATTATAAAGCATTCGTAATGGGTTAATACTCTAATGGGTTATATATTATTGTATTCTTACTGATTATAAGAGAAGGTTAAGTATTGATTCAGTATAAATAAATAGAACTTGACATTTCTGGCTCACATTATATATGTGTCTATATATATACACACATTAAGGGAGAGAAATGAAAGCCCATTTCCATGAGTTCCATTATGGAGGAACTTCTTTTCAAAACATTTTACTGAAGGTTCGTTTTAGAATTTAGAGTGCGCGAAGTTTACTGGCCAGCCGAGTTTCTTCGGAAGTTAAAATGGAGGGGTTGCTTCCAACTTATTTGTATAGGAGGGTGGATCAATAAAATGAGGGAAGATCGTCGCGTGCAACGCGGGTCAGACGGCTTCCTCTCACCTACTATATATATATTTTCTCAAATGCTTGAATAGGTGAGATATTCTCACCGACAGACATTTTCATATTGGTTGTGCTATGAATATATCCTCAAGGATTCTGAGCATCTCTCTAGAATCTCTTCAAATAACTCCTTGATCTTCTTTTTTCACTGTTCATTTTTTTTTTTTTTAACCAAATTATTTCAATCTCTTTATATTATTAAATCGCTTTTCTAAAATTATTTCATTTCCCGTTCCTATGGTTATAAAATAATTTTATTTCATTATTATCAAAATCATTTGATTTTGAAACGTTTGGATTATTAAAATCTTTGAACCGAATTTTGGTTTTTAATACTTAAATTGTCTAATAAATTCTTTATAATTAGAGAAAAGGTACAGGTTTAATCTGACAATCTTTCGCTAACGACCTGGATTTATCCGGCTTCTGAGAGATGAAGACTAGTAGCTATAATGTTGGAAGGAAAAAGGTGAGCGATGAGCAAAAGGCGATACAATAAATACATTAACATAACATGGGCGTTGGTCGAAGCCACACCTATTCACACACAGCACGAAGGATTTTTGAATCCAAAAAAAGGGTGTATATTTTTTTCCGTATATTTTCTTTTAGCCTGAGGATTTTTTTTTTTTTTTTAGGCAAACCTATCGAATGATCGGAGAAATTCACCAAACTCAACAAGGATAGAGTCCTTTGAACAAAGGGTCTCTTATTTTCCACTTATGAGAACTGTAGAACCACTTTCAAGTCTTCTGCTCGTTGTTCTCACGTATCGTCGAGACGTGACCGAGCTGTGGTGTTCGGTCGTGATCTCGACAGGTGCAAACTCTCTCGTTTAACAAACGCGTGCCCTCACCAAACTCGCTTCCTCTCATCGCACACAATTCACTGAACATATATACATACATACATACATACACAGACAAGAGAATTTTTCCTGCCCGACTGAACTGAAACACGTTGTGTGCAAAAGGTAATTGCGTCGGTAGTCTGACACTACTTTATTTTCACTCGTTACTCCTGTCAGCCTCCAAGCATTATCTGCTCTTGATGCAATGTATGGTTTTATATAACCTTTTTTTTCAATACTCACACTTCATTAGTGTTTTCGATTTTTAAGAAGCAAATTTAATCTTTTGAGAATAGAATTATTTTTTGATAAAAAAAATATGAGAGCTATGGTACCGGTTGCTATGGTACCGGATTCTATGGTACCGGTTTCTATGCTACCGGATTCTATGGTACCGGTTGCTATGGGACCGGTTTCATAGTTGCTATAATACCGGTTGCTATGCGATACTGATTGTTATGGTACCGGTTACTATGGTACTGGTTAGACTATGGAACCGGTTACTATGGTACCGGTTATGCTATTGTACCGGTTACTATGGTACCGCTAACTATGATACCGGTTAGGCTATGGTACTGGTTACTATGGTACCGGTTACTATGGTACTGGTTTAACTATGGTACCAATTATTATGGTACTGGTTACTATGGTACCGGATACTATATGGTACCGGTTACTATGGTACCGGATACTATATGGTACCGGTTACTATGGAACCGGATACTATATGGTACCGGTTATTGTGGTACTGGTTGCAATGGAACCGGATACTATATGGTACCGGTTACTATGAAACCGGATACTCTATGGTACCGGTTACTATGATACCGGATACTATATGGTACTGGTTACTATGGTACCTGATACTATATGGTACCGGTTAGTATGGTACCAGTTACCATGGTACCGATTTAACTATGGTACCAATTATTATGGTACCGGTTACTATGGAACCGGATACTATATGGTACCGGTTACTATGGTACCGGTTATTGTGGTACTGGTTGCTATGGAACCGGATACTATATGGTACCGGTTACTATGAAACCGGATACTCTATGTTACCGGTTACTATGATACCGGATACTATATGGTGCTGGTTACTATGGTACCGGATACTATATGGTACCGGTTAGTATGGTACCAGTTACCATAGTACCGGTTTAACTATGGAACCAATTATTATGGTACCGGTTACTATGGAACCGGATACTATATGGTACCGGTTAGTATGGTACCGGTTACTATGGAACCGGATACTATATGGTACCGGTTACTATGGTACCGGTTATTGTGTTACTGGTTATTATGGTACCGATTACTATGGAACCGGATACTATATGGTACCGGTTACTATGGTACTGGTCAGCATGATACCGGTTTGCTATGGTTCCGGTTACTATGGTACCGATTTCATAGTAACTGGTTGCATAGTTGCTATAATACCGGTTGCTATGGTTCCGGTTACTATGGTACCGTTTTCTATGGTACCGGTTTCATAGTTGCTATAGTACCGGTTTACTGTGGTTCTGGGTACTATGATAACGGTTGCTATGGCAACCATACGAGTGTACGACGGACGGACTTCAAAGTAAAACTATAAGACTTTCGTGCCTGAGTCACGAAACCCTAATAAAAACAAGTTCGAAATAATAAAAAACAATCGTTTCTGTTGCAGGTAATCAAAGGAAACAGTAATACCTACATTGAATCGAAACGAGATCTGGAGCCACCGATTTGGGCGAGTAAAATTCGTTTTATGCCGTACAGTTACCATCGTCGTACGGTGTGCATGCGAGTTGAATTGTATGGTTGTCCATGGAACGATGGAATCGTTTCTTATTCGATACCACAGGGGGATAAGAGAGGCAATTGGGAATTCTTCGACGTGACTTACGACGGTCACTGGGACGGGGAATTACGCCGTGGTCTTGGACAACTCACGGACGGTCGAACTGGGCCCGATAATTTCAAGTTGGGTTACTACGACTACAATCGAGGTCAAGGGTGGGTTGGATGGAGGAACGATACACGTTCAAATCGTCCACTAGAAGTCAAGTTCGAGTTTGACCACGTCAGAGAATTCTCGGCTGTTCATATCTATTGCAACAATCAATTCACTAAAGATGTTCAGGTAAATAGTACTTCTACTATATATATATATTTAGAAATATTTTCCCTGTTAGCGTGAATTGCCAAACATAATAATAGTTTAAAAATTCTATTTTTATCGTGTATATACCTTAAAATGGAGTTGATATAAAAGAAAAAGAAAAGAAATTCAAGGCACAAGAGACGTGCTTACGAGTGTGAAAGAGGAAATTGGAAAGCCCCGCAGCGACGATTAGGCGAGCAGACTTACACGGTGAGCGAAATGAAGGGTAAAAGAGACTCCTTTTTCCATCTTGGCTGCCTCTTTTTTGGCTGGTATAACCTTTTTATATCCTTGGATATATAAAATCCTGTTTTGCTATTTCAGTGTGAGAAGATGAAACTACTGGAATCAGTAACCATTTTCTTTTAATCTAATACTGACTTTTTTTTTTGCAAAGTAATTCCTGATTTTGAAGCTTCATGGAAAAAAATTTTATTTTTATTAAAGTTTCCAGAGGCCTTTAAAGTTTCTAAAAAAAAAGAAAAAAGATGACAAAAGAGAGTGTATCCAGAGCGCGCAATGGTATTAAACTTTAGTCCCCCCATTTTTTTTTCTCTTGGAAAATTTTCCGGTTTGGATTTTATAATGGTCTGCAAAACACTCTGCTCAGTATCAAGATTTATTTGAATGGAGCGCCTCATTACCCAGCTCTCTATGATTGTATGGGGCCAAAGAGGGAGCACAAGATGGTTGTATAGTAGCTTGAGGGAGTTGATGGTTACGGGTTTTCGAGAATAGGGGGTGGTAGTGGTGAAGGAGGGGAAATGGGCTTCCTCACAATGGCTGCAACGACCGGTCGTGGGTGCAGATACGCCACGCATTCAAATACAATACCTATACATAGTCTGGCAAGACTATGTGCCTGGAGAAGCTTCGCGAGAACCCTCCCTATTAACAAGCGCGCGAGCTTACTCTAGTGGGATAGAACACGTCGACGGCTGAAAGACAGCACTTCAAAGCTCCGGTAACCCTACCAACGCCTCATCGAAAACCCTCACTCTCTCTCTCTTTCTGTCTCTCTCTCTCTCTCTCTCTGCTCTTTGCCTGAAGGGCGGAGGTTGAAAATCCATACGGGCCACCGCGACGTCTTCCACGAGGTGAAGGAGTTAGATAATCTGTGCTTTGTAATCTCTCAGTTCTCCCCACCTCCCCTTCTTTCACATCCTCGAGTCTAAGTTCTGTACTACTTGCTATCGTACCATCGTGTCTGGAGCGAATTAGCATTCCGCCACGACTCCTCGCACCTCTGCTACTTCTTGGAGAGACCCACCTACGGCTCTGCCATTATCGAGGTCGTTGCTGTCATTGTCGTTCTAATCAGCGTTTGATCTACTTGCTCCTTCAGTAGACGGAAAAATTATTTTTTAAACCCACACGGAAATTTTTCTTCAGTACAGCCTTAATTCTAACTGCATAATCATATTGGTGGTTTTATTACGGATGATTATTTTTTAAACCCGCACTGAAAGTTTTCTTCAGTCTTAATTTTAATTAATCTGCTACAGATGATACAGTTACAAATGATACTGATACAGATGCTACTGATACAGATGATACTGATACAGATGATACAGATTTTGTTGTAGCCATACCGTTTTTTTTAGCCATACGGATATTATTTTAGGTCGTTTTAGTCATGTGTTTGGTCGATGTCCCAACAAAACAGTTGGCAACATAACCATAATTTAGGGACAAAACATTAATGGACCATAATTTTTAAAATCTGTATAACCAAACAAAAGATTGTTCTAACCGTAAATCAATGGTAATAATTTTGCTAGCAACACAACAATAATTCTAATTTTGAAATAGCTGTAGATTTTACATGAACTCCTTTTGTTTCAAAATTTAGAAACCTGCAGCAATATTCGCAGCATTATCTCAATATTCTAATATTGTAGCAACATTAAATTCTATTTCTATATACATCAACTTTTACAAAGTGAAAGCTGTTTTGAAACTAATTCCAATTTCCTTTATAATTCCACAATAGTTTTCATGAATCTCATCAATTAACGACGAAAAGGAGCTTCGCCATTTGAATCAATTGCCAGTCTCTTTTAGAACGGATTATATATACTATATAGCATATGTAATTGAAATGATCAATCAGTCTAAAATGAATATTAAATTACATTAATTCCTTTATTATATCAGCTTCATGATATTAAATTTTACAGTCTAGTAACCACAAATCGAGTTTTATTATTAGAATAATTGAATAAATCAGAGGGGGTTTTTTTTTTCATTCTGTTACAGGTCTTTTCGGAAGTCGGTGTTATGTTTAGTATTGGCGGTAAATACTATAATGGTGATCCAATCGTTTATGAAACAGTTGAGGATCGAATTTTCGAGAATTCACGTAACGTCACAATTAAATTACATCATCGTATTGGTAAATTTGTCAAGTTGAAATTTGGTTTTGCATCGCGTTGGATTATGATCAGCGAAATCACATTTGACTCCGGTGAGTATAAATATTTTGATTTCTCGGTTTATATTTTTTCTAATCTGGATTGATGAAAATAAAAACTTAATTTCAGATATCGCTCATGGAAACTTTACTCCGGAAATGCCACCATCAACAGAAGCGCCACGTATCAAGGATAGAAGTTTTGATCGTGATAAGCCACATCAGGCTGAAATCCCTGTTTCAACTGCAAAGCAGGATGATCCAACTTATATGGCTGTGATAATAGGAGTATTAACGGCAGTCATTCTTCTTTTAGCCGTTGCTATTTTTCTAATAGTGAGCCGTCATAGGCAGAGAAAAAATTTTGCAAGTCCACTTGGTGCAAAGGGTGCAATACCCTCGGGTAATCATCATAATCATCATCATCATCATTTGTCATCAGAATCGGCATATGGGACCACAGAAAAAGATCCATCGCTTATGACATATAGAGTTGATGATCTTGATGATAGATATTCAGGTTCAAAGTTGACTACATTGCCACGTGATTTAAATGATCGACTATTGGGTGATGTTAGACTCGACGAATACCAGGAACCATTTCACGAGAACAAATATCGAGAGCCAGCGCACGCTGCATATTACGGATACAGTACTGTCGTCTTGGACAACAAGGATTTGCATGACAACATTGAACAATCCGGTGAGTCCACATGTCTGACATTCTAGGCTACATTATTATCGGACCAATTGCATTCGAGGAATGATAGGTATTAATTCGCTATGGCTAATTGTAATATGTCAATTAGTATCGATTATTCCGGAATTTCGGGGATTTAGGACTGAAATAACTAAAACTGGGATAAAATTCATTTTTAGAGTTAGATATTTATTATTTAAAATTATTTCCACATTGCAAAAATGATTTTTCTTTGGATTTGTTACAGATGCGACATACGATTATGCAGTTCCTATGCCTGTGCCTAGTGTAAGCAGTGATCAGGATAGTGTCTTTTCCAAGTCCTCCAGAGGAAGCGCAAAAGTGAGTTTATTATTTTTTTTTCCAAAGAAAATAATTTTCAATAAACAGAACATATTAATCAGCTTGTAAACAATGATGTTTGAAACTTCAAACTGAGCTTACAACTTTTAATCCCATATACAAACTAAGCTCAATATTCTCAAGAATCCGTTTTTTTCTTCTCGCCAAATTTCCCCAGAGTAATCTGTGATAATAACATTGAATTTTTTTTTCGCCAAGTTTCTTTTTTAGAAAGCACTGGGGAATTGAGAAATTTTCTTATCATTTTTCCAAATATATTTTCTCTCGTGTGAAATTTTTAAGTTTGCTTGCCCTGCAATATTTCAACTTTTCTTTTTTTTTTTGTCGCTAGCGGAAAAATTGCATTTTACAACTTAAGTAAAGGCGTTTGACGGTTTTTCACTCCACTGTGCATGTTTTTCAATCGAGACTTATGAATATTTGGTGCTTCAGGCGTGCTTGCAGAGCTTTTTTCCACCACCTCCACCTCCAATGAGTGTACCACCTCCTCGAGGCACCAGTAACCTGACGTACTCGAGCCCACCGAGTCCTGAACCGGTTTGTGAACGAGAACGCCGAGGCAGCAAGCGACGGGAGCATTCTCTTCATAGATTCGCATAAAAGAATTCTCTTTTCAAGACTCCAATTGACAGGCACTCTTTTTTAATACACACTTTGGAATGCACATCTTTCGTCAATAGCTCATCTCATTGAAAAAATTTTGTAAGCACTTCAATTAATCTTTTTTTTACTTTATTATTCCCGAAAAAAAAGAGAGGAGCTTCTTTTTTGCGATCCCGAAAAAAAGATTTGATATATTTTTTTAATATTGAACTTTCAAAAAAGTTTTTAAATTATTTTTTCAATATTGAATCATTTTTTCGGGTTGTACAGTAACTTTTAAGACTATAATTATTAAAAAAAAAAAAAAAAACTTCGATAATCGCTAAGGCGATGAAACTAAAATTATTGGCATATCAGTTAGGGAAATAACTCCTCTAGAAATTCGCCTCGGGGCTTTTCCATCGAGCCCTATATATATATACACTGCCACAGGCTCGTCGTTAAATATATATTTTTTTTAACATATCCGATTTTTTTTACACGTAAGCTCAAAGGAAGTTTAAGCATATACCGGGGAAAATTCCTAGAATACCATATGCGACGTAAACCACAATTTTTTTTTTTGCAAAAACCAAATGAAAAACTTTAAAAAAAAATTCTCCGGGACGAATTTCTAGCGCGAGACAAAGTTGCACAACAACATTAATAAATTATAATACGCCTCGGTCAGTATATCTCGCTTCCAGATTTTGCCAAAAAAAAAAAAAAAAAAATTAAGAACAAATGGCAGCGAGAATCGATCGTTTCTCACATAGAAGACTGATTTGAACAGAAAAGAAAAACTCAGTCCCATGCGATGTATTTATTTATTTGTACAGCGCCTGATTAATGGACTTTTTAAAACAAAAAAATAATTAGTATTTGTATAAATGCGTAGTTTCTTAATCATTAGAAAATATAATATAGTCGATGACGATAGGAAAAAGTATTTGTCGAATTTTTCAATTTAATTTTTATAAATTCGACAATTTTCTTACCACAGTATTTGCTTTATTAATTTTAGAAAAAAGGGTTCTAAATCTTTATAATATATATTTCATTTTAATTTATATAATTTTTAGAAAATATTTAAATTTTTCGTGTGTTTTGAATTTAATTGAAAATTTTTAATTAATTTTGTTTCGACAAAACTTTTGCCCATAGGTAGTTTTTCTATATTTACCGTCTCAGCCTTCATATAAAACAAATTTTAGAGAGTTGGGAAGGGGAGGGTGGGTGGGGGGGGAATGTAATTTTTTGCTAATATGAAAATCGACAATACAGGGATGAGACAACAATAATGATGATTAATAAAAAAAAAAACTCATATTATATGTGTATAAGAGAACCCGACCCATATTGTGATATAAAAACGAAAAACGATCGCAAGGTATAAAAAAACAACACCTGGAACTTGTATATCTTAAAAAATCCGTTGTTTCTAAACGATAATTAAGAAAAACACGGATAATTAATCTTTTACAACGACTATTTAAATTCTTAAAAGAATTTCCATTGCCTTTTTTTTTAAGTAAATTAATAATTTCAGTATTTATAATTTTAATATATATATTTATAATAATTCAAAATCTCAAGAATCTGAATATTAAAATCTTTTGATGGCGCAAAATATGAAATGTCGAGATTTTTTTTTTTATTATTTTCCAAGATGATACGTACAAGCGCGTCTTTGGGAAGTTCTTTTTCTTTATATAAATATAAAGAAGCAAAAAGGGAACGAATTTAATATCAATTTATCATTATACCTGAGAACACAGCATTTTTCTTAACTATATATATATATACAAAATATATAAAGGAAAAATTAAATAAAAAAAACATGAGATAGAAAAAAAGAATATTACTTTCGAGAAAGGTCACAAGATAAGAGGAGAAAAAAAAAGAAGTAGGGGGGGTGATTCCCCGAAAAGGGTTGCACTCGTATATAACATACCGACTCGTTGCGTGCTTGTGGGATGCTTTATGGCTCTTTTGTGCTGTTCTGCTGTTCGTCGCGTACCTCTCGTAAAACTAACGTGTGTGCTACCTGCGTATATATATATATATAAAAAAAGTTCCTCCAAAGTTGATACAGACTTCTCTCTATATACAATGAATCAGAATTGCTATTTGATAAATATTTTTACTTTTATTCACGGTATTATTATACCATTTTATTCTACTTCGTAATTGAAGGATTTTTTAATAATATTAATTTACAAAAATTAATAGGAAAAAAAGATTTCATAATTAAATAAAAATTGCAAAAATTACGGGACCAACGTATCAGGGGTACAATTATGGAATTTCACTTTCACTTTCACTTTCATTTTCACTTGCAGAAATTTCACTTTCACTTTGATTTTCATTTTCACTTGCAGAACTTTCACTTTCACTTTTATTTTTATTTTGACTGACATTCACTGAGAAATAAAAAAAATGAAAACGAAAGTGAAAATAAAAGAAAAATGAAAGTGAAAATGAAAGTGAAAACGAAAGTGTAAGTGAAAGTGTAAGTGAAAGTGAAAATCAATGAAAATATTTGCAATCGTTAAATTTTTTTCTTGAATTTCTTAATTTCAAATAGCAATTCCATTAGAGATTATAATTTTATTTTAAAATAAACACAATTCCATTTCCTTGATAATCCTGTAAAATATATATATATATAGAATAAAGTAGTTCCACGAATAAAGGAGCATCGCGTAACTTAAACGTTTAATCGAACATGCATATCTATGTAAATATGAGTATATGCAGAACATAAAATAGTTGCACAAGAAACATTATGCTTATAAAGCCTCGTGCTAAGTGTCTCTTTAATATCACAAATACGGAGAGAGCAACCACATTACACGCAGCGAGTTGAGGTTATAAAAACGATTTATCGTATAGACTTAGCGTAATAATGAGTGATCTATATTCTATTCTATATGTACAGGCTCTTCTGATATTAAAACGCACGTATTATTTCTCAATGTAAATACTACTTTGTAATTTATATATATATATAAATAAAAAAGAAAAAAAAATAATTCCTAAGAGGCAAAAACGACGTTATAAAATTTATTATTATTATTATTACTATTATTATATGCCTAAGGAAAATTTGCGAAGCGATATCGCGCTTTTTTGTATATATTTGTATTATATATGCGTATGTAACTATAAATGGTTACCACCGTGAGTGTAATTAATAAAAAAAAAAAAAAAAAAAAAATGTATAACGAGTTGCATATTTGATATTTGTGTGCCTGTATCCTTTTGTATGCTATCGAAAAAAATAGAAGGAACGAAAAGAACGAAACTATACATATATATAAAGAAATAAAAAAAAAAAAAATATATATATAGAGACAAATACGAGTATTGGTACATTGTACATCACACTATAATTGTCACCAGTGACGAAAATAAACTTCTAGTGAATCTAATTTCAATGTTTCGTTAATTATATCCTATTTCCAATTTTAATTTACAGATTTCAAGAATATACTCGAAAAGGTAAGAAGAATTTTTAAATTCTATTGTTCGGTTTACTGGACTCATTTTTTAAAGTAGTAGACACAAAAGTTAAAAAACGAAGAAAATAGTATACAATTCCAAAGGACTGAGTCCGAGTAAATTAAAGAGACCCTCGAGTCATTAAAAACGTGAATGTCGTTCTGGCTATTAGAATGACAAATGGCGTCGTTGACGGTGCCAAATTAGCAAGATGAAAGCACCGCAATTCTCTTTACATTATCTCGCGTGTGTGTGTATGTTGTTTTTTTCATGTCAATGATCATTTTATTTTTTTTTTTCATTATCTTTTATTCAATTTAAGTTTCAAAATAAAGCACGATCTTTTTTTTATTCTTTTTCCTTTTTTTTTCAAATATATGAATCGCGTTTTTAGAGCCCAGGGTAAAAATCACTTACTGGAATTCTTTTTTTTCTTTCTCTAAAGTGTAAAGTCATGGTTGAATAAGAGTTTTTCTTGATATGAGCCGTCATTTCTTCTGACAGAGAGAAAAAAAGGAAAGAAGGAGAAAGTGAAAGAAAGTGAGACAGAGAGGGAGAGAGAAAAAAAAGAGAGAGAGGGAGAGAGAGAGAGAGAAAATTAAGAGTTATCAATGAAAGGGAGATCAAACTACAAAAGCCGTTTCACCTTTAAAACGAAAAAGGTAGTTAATGCATTTCCGCATCTCTCCTATAAATCCCTTAAAAAAAAGATTTTTTTTTTTCCCTGTCATCCATTAAACATCTTATGTACGAAGTCTGGAATAGAAGATTCTCTTTATATTCACGTTCTTTCGTCCCCTCTATATAGAAAAAAAAAGAAAAAAAATTTTTTTTTTTTTTTGCTGTATCACATCCAAAATTACGACCCCCTACACAATACAACGGTAAATCTAGAATACGGCCTTTGTGCCGCCATCCAACTTCCATTACTGTGCGTTGTACTTATCACCAACCCCTCATCGTTCTTCTACTGCTTTGCCACTTGACGTTAAATTTCATGGAATGATTGTTTAATCGATATTGAATTTCGGAGATTGCTGAAAAATGGTCGTTTTTATTCCCGCGTATAGTGTGTGAAATTGCCGTAATAAATTCTATATATTGTATCGTGAATTTCTTTTCAAAAATTAAAATATTAAAACATTCTTGAAATTATGTTTCCATTTTTTTTAATAGTAATTTTCATTTCGTGTTGAAAAAATAAATTCGTTTTCCTTCCTCCTAAAGATTATGGTTGCTATGGTACCGGTTTAGCTATGGTACCGATTATTACGGTACCGGTTACTATGGAACCGGATACTATATGGTACTGGTTACTATGGTACCGGATACTATATGGTACCGGTTACTATGGTACCGGATACTATATGGTACCGGTTACTATGGTAACGGTTTAGCAATGGTACCGATTATTATGGTACCGGATACTATATGGTACCGGTTATTGTGTTCCTGGTTACTATGGTACCGATTACTATGGTACGGGTTACTATGGAACCGGATACTATATGGTACCGGATACTATATGGTACTGGTTACTATGGTACCGGATACTATATGGTACCGGTTAGTATGGTACCAGATACTATTTGGTACCGGTTACTATGGTACCGGTTTAGCTATGGTACCGATTATTATGGTACCGGTTACTATGGAACCGGATACTATATGGTACCGGTTACTATGGTACCGATTACTATGGTACAGGTTACTATGGAACCGGATACTATATGGTACCGGATACTATATGGTACTGGTTACTATGGTACCGGATACTATATGGTACCGGTTACTATGGTACCGGTTTAGCAATGGTACCGATTATTATGGTACCGGATACTATATGGTACCGGTTATTGTGTTCCTGGTTACTATGGTACCGATTACTATGGTACGGGTTACTATGGAACCGGATACTATATGGTACCGGATACTATATGGTACTGGTTACTATGGTACCGGATACTATATGGTACCGGTTAGTATGGTACCAGATACTATTTGGTACCGGTTACTATGGTACCGGTTTAGCTATGGTACCGATTATTATGGTACCGGTTACTATGGAACCGGATACTATATGGTACCGGTTACTATGGTACCGATTACTATGGTACAGGTTACTATGGAACCGGATACTATATGGTACCGGATACTATATGGTACTGGTTACTATGGTACCGGATACTATATGGTACCGGTTACTATGGTACCGGTTTAGCTATGGTACCGATTATTATGGTACCGGTTACTATGGAACCGGATACTAAATGGTACCGGTTACTATGGTACCGATTACTATGGTACCGATTACTATGGTACCGGTTACTATGGAACCGGATACTATATGGTACCGGATACTATATGGTACTGGTTACTATGGTACCGGTTTAGCTATGGTACCGATTATTATGGTACCGGTTACTATGGTACCGGTTTAGCTATGGTACCGATTATTATGGTACCGGTTACTATGGAACCGGATACTATATGGTACCGGTTACTATGGTACCGATTACTATGGTACCGGTTACTATGGAACCGGATACTATATGGTACCGGATACTATATGGTACTGGTTACTATGGTACCGGATACTATATGGTACCGGTTACTATGGTACCGGTTTAGCTATGGTACCGATTCTTATGGTACCGGTTACTATGGAACCGGATACTATATGGTACCGGTTACTATGGTACCGGTTATTGTGTTCCTGGTTATTATGGTACCGGTTACTATGGAACCGGATAATATATGGTACCGGTTGTGTTCCTGGTTACTATGGAACCGGATACTATATGGTACCGGTTACTATGGTACTGGATACTATATGGTACTAATTATTATGGTACCGGTTTTGCTATGATACCGATTACTATGGAAACTTTCGATATGGAAACTGTTATTATGATAACTGTTGCTATGGTACCAGTTGTTATAGAGACCGTTGCTAGGGTACTGGTTGCTATGATAACCATATGAGTGTACGACGGACGGCGTCATAGCGCAACTATAAGATTTTCTGGTCTGGGCCACGAAACCCCGAAAAAACGAAAATGAAAATTGAAAGAAAATTCCAAAATAAGAGTCGAAGTAAAAACAAAATTACCTAATTCCAAATTAAACAATAATCTTACGGAAAGTGTAATTAAAAATATACAAACTCGCAATTTCTTCTTTTTTTTTCTCTCATAGATTTATTAGAATGTCGCGTGTTTAAGGTTCATGACCCTGTGTTAATTTTCAAGCATCAGCAAATGAATATAAGCGGAAGCTAGGGCGACGACGAAAGCACGCGGGCGAATTCAAGGTCCGACGAACATGCGGTATCGCGTGGACGCGATTCAAAGTTCCGTAAATGGAAAAAGCTGTACAAGGAAAACGCTCTTTATAAACACTAGAGACGTCGGGGAAAGATGTAGAGTTTTTTTAATTTTTTAAATACCTGTTCAAAAGCCATGAGCAAAGACGCCGAGTATAAAAAAAAAAATAAAAAATAAGTAAATAACAGAAAATGCAGAAAAATTAATTAATGCAAAAGAGGGCCAACCGCGACTCAGCTTTAAGTATATCACCACAGCAAAAAAAAAAAAAAGAAGTTCGTTTCTAATTAAAGAAGCATTTTTCGTTTGCGATGCCATATAATTTCTATCCACTTTCATATTTTTTATACCTGGTTCTTTCACTGGTTCTCTTTTTATTTTATATTTAAATATTTGGGTTAATTTGGCAAAATTAGAGAAGAAAATGAATGGAATTAATTTTCAATTTAGAGAAACCTAGAGAGAGAGAGAGAGAGAGAAGTAACAACAGAGGGGAGAATATGGTTGGCTTTTGTGTATGACTTGCGGAATCATGCATGACAGGAGGCAAAATTGTCGACGCTATTAAAGCAGACGCAACTAAGGCGCCATGTCATCTTTTACGCGCCATCATCAGCGTCAGAGAACATCGAGTGTCAAATGAGGTACCCAGGGAAGACAAATTCCTGGAGATCGCGCGCACAACGTCAAGTTTGTGTTCGCACACTCAACGGATCGTTAGGCTCCGTCTGACGTTCTGGCACCTTCAACATTTTCTCAAATATATATTTTATTTTTACACACGAATATTCCCCTTCTTTTCTCTTTCCTATACACTTTTGTAATTACCATCGCTACATTTATCAGAATGAAAAAAAATGAACTTTTACCGCTGCTCATTTGTCATCGTTAAAAATATATATCTAGACACTTATTTTTTTTTTTTACAAAAATTACAAAATAATTTACAAAAAATGGCATTTTAAAATTAGAATTCAAAAAAATTTTATTTTTAATTAAAAAATAAATTCTTTTTTTTTTTGAATAATAGAGAATTATATTCTGTTCGACACAATGCCATGCGGTGAAGAATGTAATATTTCAAAGAATTATCTTGACGAGGCGCGCATATAAATCGAAAAGACGCCTCTCTCTCTCTCGTCTCTCTTGATTGCCTCTGTAGAGACGATAATTTTCTACGAAATTGAACAGTGAGCTGTTTGCAGAGGTTTGACGTTGATATGAAGGAATCAATTTCGTATACCTTCATGCAAAATTAAGCTTACCATTATACTTCAAATTCAAATTCATCCATTATATTTTATAGAAAAATTTTTCCTTATAAATTAAAAAAAAAACTCTAATTTTTTTTTCTATTTTAATCTCGTAGAGACAATATCTGTGTAAGAAATGCGAATCATTGTTCAAATTGGCTCTCTCTCTTAAAGTACTTGAAATCTTTTTGACGAGGGATAAAGGCTAGAGAATATATATATATGTATATTGAAAGCGATGTGTGTATAGAGAAACGAGTGCCCCTTAAATTATGTTCGACCGGTCAGCGCCTATCCTTTTAATCTAACGATCAGTTGGTAGCTCATGCGTTTTATTATGTACCGGATGGGGGCCTCGAGTGTTTCTGATTCAAATGCATTGCCAACTTTCAGCCGGTTGTTATAAAAGTACCAACCGCTGGGCGTCATTCGATTCTACATACCCTCCTTTAATCAAATCTCTTAAATCTTTTGCTTCAATTGGTCAAGCTTTCGTTGGATCAGAAATTAAGACCTCTTGTGATAGTTAGCATTTTTTTTTTTATTAGGGCTATCATCATCGACACATCTTGATGAAATAATTTAATTTATTTTTAACTGAAGAATAATTAACGTAATAATCAACAAAAATTGTCTGTCTGCTCGGTAATTAGGAGAAAATTTGGATTAATTCGGAAAAGAGTAGTTGAGGCACTTAGCTTGGACCTAAACTAAGAAAAGGCTGCAAACAATACGGAAGTAGCAGTTATAGTTTTCGAGAAAGAGCGACAAAACTGTACTGTCGATAATTCAGGAATCTATAAAATTTTGTGAATTCGGAAAAATTTGCCACTAATATTGAATCTCCAATAAACGAGTGATACAATAATCTAGAAAGTACTATTTTTTTTAATAAGAACGGGGAAAAATTGTACTGTCGGTAATGTAGAAATTTAAAATTTCATTCAATTTGGAAAAAAATACTTGTGGCACTTAGTTTAGACCTCAACTAACAGAAGGCTGAAAACAACACGAAAGTAGTGCTTATAGATTTCAAAAAAAAAATCGACAACATTTTACTGTCAGGGTCAAAGCTGTACTGTCGGTAAAGCAGAATCTAAATTCAAAATTTCATGCGGCTTAATAAAAAAAAAAGCCGTGGCACTTAGTTCAGATCACAACTAAGCGAATGCGACAAAAATTTCAAAAAATACCGCTTCATACTTTTTGAAAAAGAACTGGAGCAAAATTGTACAGTCGGTAATGCAGATTCTTTGGAAATTTCACTTAATTTGGAAAAAAATACCTGCGGCACTTAGTTTAACCCTCAACTAAGCCACAAAAATCTAAAAACCTCTGCTCTATACGTTTTCAAGAAGAACTGAGGAAAAATTATACTGTCGGTAATACAGGGACTTGAAAAAGTTCATTTAATTTGAAAAAAAATAGGTGTGGCAATTAGTTTAGACCTCAACTAACAGAAGGCTAAAAAACAAGAAGAAAGTAGTGCTTATAGTTTTCAAAAAAAAAACGGCGACAACATTTTACTGTCAGGGACAAAGCTGTACTGTCGGTAAAGCAGAATCTTAATTCAAAATTTCATGCGGCTTAATAAAAAAAAAGCCGTGGCACTTAGTTCAGATCACAACTAAGCGAATACGACACAAAGTCCAAAACTACCGCTTCATACTTTTTGAAAATGAACTGGAGCAAAATTGTACAGTCGGTAATGCAGATTCTTCGGAAATTTCATTTAATTTGGAAAAAAATACCTGTGGCACTTAGTTTAACCCTCAACTAAGCCACAAAAATCTAAAAACCTCTGCTCTATACGTTTTCAAGAAGAACTGAGGAAAAATTATACTGTCGGTAATACAGGGACTTGAAAAATTTCTTTTAATTTGAAAAAAAATAGGTGTGGCAATTAGTTTAGACCTCAACTAACAGAAGGCTAAAAAACAAGAAGAAAGTAGTGCTTATAGTTTTCAAAAAAAAAACGGCGACAACATTTTACTGTCAGGGACAAAGCTGTACTGTCGGTAAAGCAGAATCTTAATTCAAAATTTCATGCGGCTTAATAAAAAAAAAGCCGTGGCACTTAGTTCAGATCACAACTAAGCGAATACGACACAAAGTCCAAAACTACCGCTTCATACTTTTTGGAAAAGAACTGGAGCAAAATTGTACAGTCGGTAATACAGATTCTTTGGAAATTTCATTTAATTTGGAAAAAAATACCTGTGGCACTTAGTTTAAACCTCAACTAAGCAACAAAAATCTAAAAACCTCTGCTCTATACGTTTTCAAGAAGAAAACAAGAAAAATTATACGGTCGGTAATGCAGGGACTTGAAAAATTTCATTTAATTTGGAAAAAAATAGCTGTGGCACTTAGTTTAGACCTCAACCAAGATACAAAAATCAAAAAACTACCGCTTTAAACTTTTTCAACAAAGGTTAATTGAATTAAATAATGTTTTCTTTTTGGAAAGTGTTTTCGATTCCTAATTTCTCTCGCAAATATAATTAAACTTTGAAACAACATTTAAGTACCCCTAAATTATCTTCCCTTTGTGTTATCTTGAGCGTTATTCCTTACGACTGCTTCTTCCGTTTGGGATGTCCCTTCCGCCAGTGAATTGTCGGAACTTTGAAGTCATTGTTGCGAAACTCCGATCCTTTCCTGCAAACGGGCACGTAGCGGGAAATCGCGTATAGACGCACATGAAGCATCCGGTGCTCTCTCTCTCTCTCTCTATTTTTAAATAATTTTTTTTTTTGTATTTCAACGACGCGTGTATTCATTCTTTCTCTCTCTCTCTTTTTCTCTTAATCCTTTCTTAGATGTCTTTTTCTCCTCCTGCGGGTGACCGTACATAAGCAAAACAATGCAGACAGTCATTGCCATATATTATTCATTTGAACAAAGAGAAGAACAGAAGAGAGTGAGAAAGTAAACTTCGTACGTGGGTAACGCGCAAAGGAAACAAGTTGTCTCGTCACCTCATACAATGGAGTAACGATAAGTACTCATCGCCTTTACAATTGTCAGTCCATCTCTCTCTCTCCCTTCTTTCTTTTCTTTTTTATTCTCTTTCGCTTTCAACAAGGCTTTACTTATTTTTTATTTCATACAATAACTTGTGCAAATATTTTATAAACCTTTCAATTATCTGAGAATTTTTAGTTTTTAATTCTGATTTAAAATTTTTTTTTTTTAGTTTGAAAAATAATGCACGTGAGATTATAAAATGATATAATAAGGTAATGAAACAGATAAAACAAACATGGAAGCGTTGTGAAAACTGCTGGACGTCACGCGAATTTTACATTCTCTTTCGCTGCGTGAGGGTGGAAAAAAAATTGCTGTCCAGGGCACTTTTTTTTTTGCTCGCGATATTACATATGTCGGTGGCGACCATTATGGGTAAATTACCCCCCACCCCACTCCCTCGAGTATGGGAGAGTAAATCGCGACTTGTGTATGTGCGCGCCAGCAGATGGTTGAAGGAGGCGTTGAAGTACAGCCGGGTGCGATCAATAACGCTTACCAATTTCATAATTCATGAATCCATAATTCATGTGGTGCATAATTCTCCCCTTCCCCTTTTCCTTTACTTAAAGCCTGATGTGTATGGTCCTTAAAATGTATGTTTCTAAAAAATTCTCTCGACATTAACGATCGGAACTTAAAATTTCTGCAATGTAACATTTTTTACACATTGTCTCGCCACTAATACTAAAAATGATCTTAATATATATATATATAACCGCGATAAAAGGGGAAAAAAATCCTTAAAAAAAACCACGTGCACCTTTTGTCATTCCCACGATTTGTTCGCCGCGTTTTCGCGTATAAAGTTCGATGGTCCGTGAAACGTAACTTTTGTCGCGCAAAACTATAATTTATTCAAGTGCCATCATTCGCGTTCCAAATGACGAAACTGTCGCGCTAGAGACAAAGTTTTCTCACATCGAAGAAGAATAATAAAATTTCAAAGATGGGTAAACAAATAAAACTTTATTTGCAAAAAACTCTTGGGTAAAAACTTTTTTTTATAAAAATTTGTTTACGATTTAAAAACTCTAAACTGATAAATTAATATATGATTTTCTATATGGAAAATAAATTATTTACTGCACTTCATTCCTAAAAAAACAAGCAGCTGCATTTAAAATAATAATGAGGGAGAATAATAAAATATTTCTTTGACTATACAGACAGGATGAAATTTTCAATTTTTAATGTATCCAATTTCAGAGTAAGGTAATTATTAATTTATACGGATTGCACGGCGGTCGCTCACTTAAATCTGTCAATTAGTTTTCATTAATATAGAACTCGTCGTTAATGTTTCCTGCTGTTAGGCGAGGATCTATTCATTTTATAAATCATAAATTTCTGTCATTTAAGTTTATATCGCATTGCGCGAATTCAAAATAAAAAAAAAAAAAAGAGAGATGATACTCATTCTATATATACGAGTATTCATCTTCAGAGGATCAAGGGTCAGTTTCATGTTAAATATATCTTCATAGATTTATAATTTAAAACTGACATCAACAAAATGACCTTTTAACACGTTCAAATAATTATTATCCACACGGAAAAAAATTTTTCTCATTCTGACATAATATTGTCATTAATTATTATAATAAAAAATCCTACCTTTGAACTCCATTTGCTCGTGCTCGAACTCCATCCTGAGGCTGCACAGACTTGCTTTCCAGAGAATCATGAAACACTCGCGATTTTAGAAATTTCGAACACTCCCGAAAATACTAAACAATTATATTAAATACTTTTTTATTGAACGTACGCGGTTTTAAGTATATTCGAACACTCCCGAGAATCACGTAGAAATTAAAATTGAAAAAAATAGGTACATTAAGACAATAACAATTTCACAAAATAAAAAAAAAAAGATCTAAAAGTCCACGACTTAAATTTTGTTCCCGACAAAATTTATATTTGTTCACATGACGATTTGCAAATATAAACTGAAATATTCCTATTTATGAATTTTAATTCCTACTGCATGATATTAGAACCGGAGACACAAAAACCGAATGTCAACACACTGCCTCGAAGGAAAAAACAGAAGTCCCTTAGAATCGTTGTATTATTACACAGCCTGAAAAATAATACAGACACAACCGATGATTATGTATGTGTTTTTATTATTAATTATTTTATTACTTTATTATTCTTAAAAAAATAAAAAAACAAAACATATTCAATAATAATGATAATTGTTACATAATAATATATTATGTCTACATAAGAGCCTCCGGAAAGTAAAACCACACATAAAATTTCTTAATAATATTTAGTTGGCTCCCCAAGTACAGAAAAAATCAATTTTCAAGAAATAAATTGTATTTATTACAAAATCATTGGAATTAGGTTAGAAATAAATAAAATTCATTTTTTTTAATATCAATTTTTAGGTTACCAGAGTTCAACTCAAAAGTACAGACAAATTTTATGTGTTGTTTTACTTTCCGGAGGCTCATAAAATGTATGGCGCACTTTTTGATTGGTCCAGCGGATGCTGAGCTACACTCAAAAATAATTTGGAAAAATTTTCAAAAAATTAAATTCGCTAGATAATCTTTCGGGAATACCGCCATAGTGATTAGAAGAAAGTTCTGAACAAAAAATGTATGGCGCACTTTTTGATTGGTCCAGCGGATGCTGAGCTACACTTAAAAATATTTTGGACAAATTTTCGAAAAATTAAATTTTCCAGGTAATCATTCGGGAATACCGCCAAAGTCTTTAGCAAAAAGTAGCGAACCAAAAATGTATGGCGCACTTTTTGATTGGTCCAGCGGATGCTGAGCTACACTAGAAAACAAATTTGGAAAAAATTTAGAAAAATTAAATTTGCGAGATAATCGTTCCGGAATACCGCCAATAAAATAGGGAAAAAGTTTCGAACAAAATATGTATGGCGCACTTTTGGATTGGTCCAGTGGATGCTGAGCTACACTTAAAAATATTTTGGAAAAAATTTCGAAAAATTAAATTTTCAAGATAATCGTTCGGGAATACCGCCATAATGATTAGAAGAAAGTTCTGAACAAAAAATGTATGGCGCACTTTTTGATTGGTCCAGCGGATGCTGAGCTACACTAGAAAACAAATTTGGAAAAAATTTAGAAAAATTAAATTTGCGAGATAATCGTTCCGGAATACCGCCATAATGATTAGAAGAAAGTTCTGAACAAAAAATGTATGGCGCACTTTTTGATTGGTCCAGCGGATGCTGAGCTACACTCAGATAAATTTTTTAAAAAATTTCGAAAAATTAAATTTGCGAGATAATTGATCGGGAATACCGCCAAAGTCTTAACCCGGGAGTCTCGAACAAAAAATGTATGGCGCACTTTTTGATTGGTCCAGCGGATGGTGAGCTACACTTAAAAATATTTTGGACAAATTTTCGAAAAATTAAATTTTCCAGATAATCATTCGGGAATACGGTCATAGTGATTAGAAGAAAGTTCTGAACAAAAAATGCATGGCGCACGTTTTGATTGGTCCAGCGGATGCTGAGCTACACTCACTAAAACTGGGAAAAAAATTTCGAAAAAAAAATTTGCCAGATAATGACTCGGGAATAATGCCAAAAAATTGAGCAAAAAGTCTCGAACAAAAAATGTATATCGCACTTTTTGATTGGTCCAGCGGATGCTGAGCTACACTAGAAAACAAATTTGGAAAAAATTTAGAAAAATTAAATTTGCGAGATAATCGTTCCGGAATACCGCCAATAAAATAGGGAAAAAGTTTCGAACAAAATATGTATAGCGCATTTTTGGATTGGTCCAGTGGATGCTGAGCTACACTCACTAAAACTGGGAAAAAAATTTCGAAAAAAAAAATTTGCCAGATAATGACTCGGGAATAATGCCAAAAAATTGAGCAAAAAGTCTCGAACAAAAAATGTATGGCGCACTTTTTGATTGGTCCAGCGGATGCTGAGCTACACTCACTAAAACTGGGAAAAAAATTTTGAAAAAAAAAATTTGCCAGATAATGACTCGGGAATAATGCCAAAAAATTGAGCAAAAAGTTTCGAACAAAAAATGTATGGCGCACTTTTTGATTGGTCCAGCGGATGCTGAGCTACACTCAGATAAATTTTTTAAAAAATTTCGAAAAATTAAATTTGCGAGATAATCGTTCCGGAATACCGCCAATAAAATAGGGAAAAAGTTTCGAACAAAATATGTATAGCGCACTTTTGGATTGGTCCAGTGGATGCTGAGCTACACTTAAAAATATTTTGGAAAAATTTTCGAAAAATTAAATTTTCCAGATAATCGTTCGGGAATACGGTCATAGTGATTAGAAGAAAGTTCTGAACAAAAAATGCATGGCGCACTTTTTGATTGGTCCAGCGGATGCTGAGCTACACACAAAAATAGTTTGAAAAAATTTTCAAAAAATTAAATTCTCTAGATAATCGTTCGGGAATACCGCTAACAAAATAGTTAAAAAGTTCAGAACAAAAAATGTATGTCACATTTTTAGATTGGTCCAGCTGATGCTGAGCTACACTAGAAAACAAATTTGGAAAAATTTCCGAAAAATTAAATTCGCGAGATATTGTCTCGGGCTTAATGCCAAAAAATTGAGCAAAATGTCTCGAACAAAAAATGTATGGCGCACTTTTTGATTGGTCCAGCGGATGCTGAGCTACACTCACTAAAACTGGGAAAAAAATTTCGAAAAAAAAAATTTGCCAGATAATGACTCGGGAATAATGCCAAACAATTGAGCAAAAAGTCTCGAACAAAAAATGTATGGCGCACTTTTTGATTGGTCCAGCGGATGCTGAGCTACACTCACTAAAACTGGGAAAAAAATTTCGAAAAAAAAATTTGCCAGATAATGACTCGGGAATAATGCCAAAAAATTGAGCAAAAAGTCTCGAACAAAAAATGTATATCGCACTTTTTGATTGGTCCAGCGGATGCTGAGCTACACTTAAAAATATTTTGGAAAAAATTTCGAAAAATTAAATTTGCGAGATAATCGTTCGGGTGTACCGCCATAATGATTAGAAGAAAGTTCTGAACAAAAAATGTATAGCGCACTTTTGGATTGGTCCAGTGGATGCTGAGCTACACTTAAAAATATTTTGGAAAAATTTTCGAAAAATTAAATTTTCCAGATAATCGTTCGGGAATACGGTCATAGTGATTAGAAGAAAGTTCTGAACAAAAAATGCATGGCGCACTTTTTGATTGGTCCAGCGGATGCTGAGCTACACACAAAAATAGTTTGAAAAAATTTTCAAAAAATTAAATTCTCTAGATAATCGTTCGGGAATACCGCTAACAAAATAGTCAAAAAGTTCAGAACAAAAAATGTATGTCACATTTTTAGATTGGTCCAGCTGATGCTGAGCTACACTAGAAAACAAATTTGGAAAAATTTCCGAAAAATTAAATTCGCGAGATATTGTCTCGGGCTTAATGCCAAAAAATTGAGCAAAATGTCTCGAACAAAAAATGTATGGCGCACTTTTTGATTGGTCCAGCGGATGCTGAGCTACACTCACTAAAACTGGGAAAAAAATTTCGAAAAAAAAAATTTGCCAGATAATGACTCGGGAATAATGCCAAAAAATTGAGCAAAAAGTCTCGAACAAAAAATGTATGGCGCACTTTTTGATTGGTTCAGCGGATGCTGAGCTACACTCACTAAAACTGGGAAAAAAATTTCGAAAAAAAAAATTTGCCAGATAATGACTCGGGAATAATGCCAAAAAATTGAGCAAAAAGTCTCGAACAAAAAATGTATATCGCACTTTTTGATTGGTCCAGCGGATGCTGAGCTACACTCAGATAAATTTTTTAAAAAATTTCGAAAAATTAAATTTGCGAGATAATTGATCGGGAATACCGCCAAAGTCTTAACCCGGGAGTCTCGAACAAAAAATGTATGGCGCACTTTTTGATTGGTCCAGCGGATGGTGAGCTACACTTAAAAATATTTTGGACAAATTTTCGAAAAATTAAATTTTCCAGGTAATCATTCGGGAATACCGCCAAAGTCTTTAGCAAAAAGTAGCGAACCAAAAATGTATGGCGCACTTTTTGATTGGTCCAGCGGATGCTGAGCTACACTAGAAAACAAATTTGGAAAAAATTTAGAAAAATTAAATTTGCGAGATAATCGTTCCGGAATACCGCCAATAAAATAGGGAAAAAGTTTCGAACAAAATATGTATGGCGCACTTTTGGATTGGTCCAGTGGATGCTGAGCTACACTTAAAAATATTTTGGAAAAAATTTCGAAAAATTAAATTTTCAAGATAATCGTTCGGGAATACCGACAGTCTTTAGCAAAAAGTATCGAACAAAAAATGTGTGGCGCACTTTTTGATTGGTCCAGCGGATGCTGTGCTAGGTCAGAATAAAATTTGTGTTGTTTAGAAAAATTTTGAAAATTCAAATTTATGAGATTTTTATGATTTTTGTTGGCTGTGAAAGAAAATAATCAAAATGTTAAATGTATAATTAAGTATCAAAAGATTCTAACATAATTTTTTCCAAGAAACACATTTCTTCTAAAATTACTTGAAAGTAATTTTTATTAAAGTTTTTGTATTTGTTAAATAGCATTTTTTAGTTTTAAAGTTATGTTTTGTCCTGCATCCTCTTTCTCTCACAGAAATCAATTGTACCGCCTCGAAATCATGACATATGGGATTCACTGTTTTTTTAGACGTATTATATTTAAAAAAAAAAAGTTTTTTATGCTCTTGAAACGAAAATAGATTCCGTGGTTGGGTTCCCAAGTTTGTAAGGTTCCACCTGACGAATGTCCAGGCAACTCCTTATTGATTGCACCTGTAGGCTTTCCCATTTTTCCCCATTTGCTCTGTCTCACATAACCATTAAGTATATCCACCTATATACAGACGAATATATATATATAGCATCAGAGAGGCGAAAATCCAAAATAATATTCGAGACGACGACGAGGGCGGTGCGGAACCGTCGTTTACTCCTAATGCATAAATTATTGTTTTCGCGGCGCTTTTAAGTAAATATTGAAATATTTCCCTCTCGGGAATCAGCGGGTTACTATTTGATGATGGTAGTGGTGGAAAAA